GCCTGTTGTAGGTTTATGGGCCACGAGAAGGAACGGAAAAATATTGAGTTGGGGTAAGAGCTTGAATTAAGCATCTATGTATAATGGATTGTTTCTTAAGTGAATCACTGTCATGATGCTTATGAAAACCAGAATAATTAAACACCAAAAGCCCAATAAAAAAAGTGACGAGACCATTCATTTTTGTGCGTCTACGATTTGCATGTTCAAGGGTAGGTCAGAAGTGTGCTGTCACCCAAACAGTAACATGCTTGTTCCACGTATTTCATCTCCAAAATTTACCAGAAAATTGCTCTTTTTGCTGTCCTATTTGTTTGGTGATACTTTGTTTCCATACATGACAGTACCAGTAGATAATTTAGCAAAGTTTCTTGAAATCGTTTTCATAGGTGTATATTGTGTTCAGCGTTTAAAATTCCTATTCTTGAACTTTTTCTGTCTAAAATGTCCTCATATCTCTAGTGCCAGCATTTGTCTTTGAAAAGGAATGGAAGTTCTTTGATGGTCCAAGAGGTGTCGTTTTGCAATCACATTAACCAAATAAATGCAAATCAAAAATATTTCAAACATTTCAAAGGAGAAGAAAGATAGACAAAATACATGTGTGTTCACAAGTATAATTGGTGTCATGCGCTCTTCCATGCAATGAAATGTGTGGTGTTCCATTAAGTATATGTTATCGTTAATGGAATATTTGTCATCCTATTTGTCATCAAGATTTTACCCTTGCTTTACCGTGAGATTCTTTTCTCTCTACATGATCATTGATTTTTCTCGCTGCAGGTGTAGAAACTCTCTGTGAGCACTCTTTCAATGAAATTGAAATCTGCGTCAGTGTTATTTGGGTATCTCTCTATAAATTGCATGAAATGTCTACCAAGAAATAAAATATAAAAAAAATAAAGAAAAAAATTGTAAATTGTAGAACTTGGACTCTAATGTATTTGAATCTGCTACAATCTCCTGTAAGCTTGTAATTTTCCTGTTCTTTCCATAGTAAAGGAGGTCCGGATCAGTGAAATTGTCAGAACAAATGTTGCTGGCTTGGATATGACAGCTGTACAGTGTACTTACATTCTCCAACCTGCATTTCAACCCGTCTGGCTGGATTTGTATGGATCAGTGGTTTCCAAAACCCAAGGTAGGTACATGTGGGCCTCAGAAGTCTTTTGATGTCAGGAATTGATTTTTGTCCATTAAATCCTCCTGTGGTAAGCCATATATTAGGTTATTGCCTTGGCAGGATGGGAAAAGTTGAATCTCCAAGCTTCTATTAAACTGATGCCATTTATGTTTCGAATTTTTTTTTTTTTCCAGATCCACTGGCTCACATCCAGGTAGTGCATTCTAGTGACAGTATCACTGCACTTCTCATAATGGACTTCCAGGATGCCACTGATGCAGGTGTCTACACTTGCCTGGGTCAGGAACCAGACTCAGCTGAGACTGTCATCATTGGAGACATTTCTCTCGGACCACTAGCAAACCGTAGCCAAGAACCATCTGATAAGCAACCTTGTAAGTAAAACTCACAGACGGACTCACAAATGGACTAGAGACCATGTAATAACACTCTGTGATGTTTGCTGCTGCACTGCCGACTCAGGAAAATGGAGGTTTAAAAACAGGTGACTAAATAGTTGAGGTTGGTCACAGACATTCAAACGGGACTAATAAAGACTGCCTTTGTGGGAGATTTGGAGACCCTGGTGGCAGCAGGCAAAGCCTTTTTTGGCATGTGCTCAGAACTATACATAAATTTCTCAGAACTCTGAGCACATGCTTAGAGCTTACAAACAGATCTATGGGATTTCGGGGAGAAAGTAAAGAAGTGAAAAAACAAATCTTGATCCCAACAAATCGGCTTTCACGCAGCTCGCAGAAAAGCCAAAAAAGTGATGAGTTCAGTAGATTTTAAATATGGGCCATTGTATGAATTAGAGATCCAATTTTTTATGTCCTTGTCACATCTGACATACATGTATGACTTTATAAGTTCAGAACACTATCTTGGTTCCAAGGGTATTGAATTAATGCAAATAACCTTCCAAACAAATAGAAATAGTTTGAAATCATTTTCAGTGATATTTCCATGTCAAATTACACAGATCAGGCATCACGGACACAAAAATGTCACACTTTTTGACCCTGAATGGATAGAGTAACCCATATGTGAACGATCCAATAAGAAGTGTGTTTGTCTCTGATTTGAAATTTTCCAACCTCGTCAATTTCAGCCTGCGAAGAAATCCAGATTCCGGCCTGCTCAGTTGGCATTAGCTACTCGTCAACCTACGTCCCTAACTTGGTTGGCCTCAGTCAAGACGAGCTGGGCCCCATCTTCAGCAGAATAGAACCCGCCTTGGCTGGTTCCTGCGGCTCTTACCTCCGCGCTTTCATGTGCGCCCTCTACCTCCCCCCGTGCCGGGAGCTAGCCGTGTTGCCTTGCCAGGAGCTGTGCTTGGCGAATGTTGACAAGTGCACAGAGGAGCTTGAGCCTTCCTTTTCACCTGATGATCTGGCCCAGATGAGAGAACAGTGCACCCAAATGCCCAGTGAAAGTGACCCTACCATCCCCTGCCATAATGGTTTGTACCCAAATGGGTAGTACCTCATTGTAATGTTAATATCTGGTGAATTTATTTTCCTGAAGAGGCTTCAGTCACGTGGATGTCCTGTATGTCGAGAAATTGTGCAGATAAATTCATTGTATGGGTGATTTCTTTTTCGGAATCTAAAACCAGTTGCTTGAGATGTTACGAGTATGAGAAGTCTGTTCAGTGTGTAGCAAAATTGGAATGCGGTTCTTAAGTTTACATATTGGCATTTTGCTTAATGATCATTGATCAGTCTGGTCATTCACTGTCCAATGAATTTCAATTAATTATGAATTACTGACCTGGTAATTTGACAAGGATAAATTAATTTCAGAATTTGATAAGTGTGACAATTCTAGCGCTGTCAAGTGTGCAGTGACTTTCTCGTCATTTTGTTACAGTTCTCTGTTTTATTTTTTTCTTTTCTTTCCTCACACCAACAGGTAAGGAGGTTAGAATAGGCTCAGTCGAAGGTTCCGGAACTGACGTCATCCAAGTGGAGTGTACCTACAATCTCCTGCCAACTTTCCAGCCAAGATGGTTCTCTCCAACGGGGCATGAAATCTTGACTGGTAGGACAAAGCCTATACTTGCTGTCATGTTACAAAGGTGTCAAATCAGAAAAGAATTACATAACTGACATAGATCCTTGTCATGTGATTGGTGGAACCCACACCATGTGACCTTGCTGCCTTTCATGGAGGGACTCAGAATATCTCATTGGGCCTTGGTGAACAGGGTTTACAAGTCAACAGTTATGATCATGGTTGTTCACACTGCTTTCTAGCCGTCGACCCTCATTAAATTAGAACAGAGCACCAGAGACCAACACCTGAGGAGAAGGTTGTGACCCAATTCATGCTGTTTGACAAGCACACACCACCCTACTTTACCCTCATTAAACTAATGCAATTTATGTTTCAAATAATTTCCTAGATTCTGAAGCTCGCATCCAGGTAGTTCATTCTCGTGACAGTGTCACAACGCTTGTCATAAAGGACTTCCAGGATGCTACTGACGCAGGTGTCTACACTTGCCTGGGTCAGGGACCAGACTTTGGTGATACAGTGGCCATTGGTAACATTTCTCTTGGCCCACAGGCAAACCGTAGCCAAGAACCCTCTGTGGCAGTACCAGCTGAGCAACCGAGTAAGTAATACTCATAAACTCACAAATGGACTGGAGCCTACAAGCCGCACATTGTAGTTTTCTCCAATGTTTAGCGGCATTTCATGAAAATGGAGGGATGAACAAACCAGTCCGGACACTGGGTGATAGCCACAGACATTCCATCAGGGCTCATAGTCAACGTTGTACCCTTTCCAAGAAGTGGAAGTATTTTTTCAGCATGGTGTTGAGCTTGACGCATGCCATTGCATTGGCAAACCATTTTTGTCATGATCAGGAAAACCATCAAGTGGACTCGTGTGCATCTCTCAATAGTCGGTCCATTTACCATTTTGTACTAGAGAATGAGTTAACAAGATTTGGCTCTCTGTATACACAAGCGCAGCTAACAGGTTGAAGGTCAAGTGTGCCCCAACTCACTTCTGGCTGACATTGCAACATGCTAATCCTCCATCAGTTGTGCATTAGGAGGTGGACTGTGTGTTGAAGGTGAATTTGGTCATTGTGCACGGCCCTGGGTATGCCCTGAAGTGTTGAAAATAAAAATATTAGGTTGTTGAAAGGAGTATTGTACAAGTACCATTACTTTGCAAGATGTATTTTTGCATTGGTTAGTTTGTATAACGGCCCGGGTTTTGCCCTTACCCAACGTATATATTGATAAACACTGTATGCTCAGTGCTAGTAAGCAGGAGGTCGTGGGTTCGAGTCCCACCCGAGTAAGCTTGGGAATTTTTTTGCAAGCTCTCGGACAAGCATTGAGCATACAGTGTTGATCAATATATACGTTGGGTAAGGGCAAAACCTGTTATATAAAATACTATAACAACAAATCTAGCAAATCAGTTTTTGTGGACTTCGGCTGTGGATCAGCAGTTGGCCACTGTATCTTGCCTTACGAGAGTCAAATCTTTAGGCCAAAACTAATTCCGTCAGTAGTGATTAACATCAGAGGCTTGTCCCATTAAGAAGCCTGTTGACATGATTTGTGTGGCACCAGAAGATACTGAAAATCATTGATTGGTGGAAAGAGCTTGATTTGAGTGATCGGTGTGTGGCGCATTGAGTGGATTGCTGTCTTGTGCTGTGTAAAAAAGTGACAAGACCATTCATTTTTGTGAATCTGCAATTTGCACATTCAGGGTCAGAAGTGTACTGTCATCTCAAACAGTAGCGTGCTTGTTCCAGGTATTTCATCTCCAAAATATACCAGAAAATTGGACCTTTTGGTTGGTTTTTGGTGATTCATTGTTTCAGTACACGACAACATATCATGCAGCAAAGTTTTCTCAAAATTATTTTAACAGGCAAATTTAGCAGAAATGTGGACTAAATCTGTTCACTAGTACATTCGTGATATGGGCTCCTCTATGCAATGAAATGTTTTGTATTCCATTCCATAAACATTCAGAAAACAAGACCTGTCTTCATCATGATTTGAGTTTTGCCTCGCCAGTGAGTTTCTTTGTTTCTGCATGATAAGGAATGCCTCTAGCTGTATCCATGGGAATTGTAAGAGATGGCATCATAAGCCCTTTTCAACAAAATCTAAATCCATTTGAATCAATTTTTTTCTTGGTATTTCAGTATGAATTTCTTGAGAAATCAACCAGAAAATGACTCCTGATTCACGCAGCTTGCAGAAAAGCCAAAATGTGATGAGTTCATTAGATTTTATTTGTGTGAAAGATCCAGTTAGAAACATGTTTGGTCCTGATTTGAAATTTTCCAACCTCGTCAATTTCAGCCTGTGAAGAAATCCGGATTCCAGCCTGCTCAGCTGGAATCGGCTACTCATCGACCTTCGTCCCTAACTTGGTTGGCCTCAGTCAAGACGAACTGGGCCCCATCTTCAGCAGAATAGAACCCGCCTTGGCTGGTTCCTGCGGCTCTTACCTCCGTGCTTTCACATGCGCCCTCTACCTCCCCCCGTGCCGGGAGCAAGCCGTGTTGCCTTGCCAGGAGCTGTGCTTGACGAATGTTGACAAATGCGCAGAGGCACTTGGGCCTGCCTTCTCGCGTGATGATCTGGCCGACATGAGAGAAAAGTGTGCCAACATGCCCAGTGAAAGTGACCCTACCATCCCGTGCCATAACGGTTCGTGCCCAAATCACAGTACCTTACCGCTGTGCTGCTATCTTTAAGGTTTATTTACATGTACCTTAAAGCTTCAATCATGCAGATGTCCTGTATGTCCAGCGTTTTCTGTCCATAAGTTTGTTGTGTATTTGCTTGTTGGTTTCTATTTCAAATATCCAAAACCAGTTGCTTGAGATGTTTTGGGTGGTCACCTTTCAGTATGTAGGAAAATTAGAATGCAAGTTGATTATACCGTCTGTGCATTAAATATCCAACCAGTCACAGTTTATGTTGAATTACTTACCTGGGAATTTGACAAGGATAAATAAATTTCGGGATTTGATAAGTGTAACAATAAGCCTTTTGTGAGTTAAATTTAAATAAAATCTGGTACACTGAGTTCTTTAAATTCACATGAACATAACAATTAGAATTCTCCATGCCAAAAACACTGTTGCTATGCCTTGTGATTCGGGGCAAGCTTTTCCTTAATTTAGAGATGGCTTGCTACAATACACTGGTCTCAATGGACAAGAAGGACACAAAGGAACCAGTCCATTCCAGAGATGGTAGTTGCTATGCGAAAGCTTGCCCCGAATCACGAAGTATAGCAACAGTGTCTTTAGTCTGGGGAATAACAATTGTTACGTTTATGTGCAATCAGATAACTCAGTGTACCAGATTTTAGTCAAATTGAAGTTGCAAATGGCCTATTCAGCCCTGTCTAGTGTACAGTGACTTTCTCATCATATTGTTACAGTTCTCTATTTTGTGGCATTCCTCACACCAACAGTTGAGGAGGTTAAAATCGGCTCAGTCAAAGGTTCTGGAACTGACGTCGTCCAAGTGGAGTGTACCTACAATCTCCTGCCTCCTTTCCAGCCAAGATGGTTCTCTCCAACGGGGCGTGAAATCTTGACTGGTAGGACAGGGCCAACACGTGTACTTGCTTTGGAGTGCTGAGAAACTGTCATGTGAAAAGGTTTCAAATTAGAAACAAAGCTGTGAAGTTGTTGTATTACCGACAATAACACCTGAGAATCTTCTACTCAATTAATTAAAAAGGAAAGTCTCCAATAAAAACCAAATATGTTCTGTACTTTGCACCTCATGTTGGTCTTTCCAAAACATTACTTACAATATGGACGATTCACAATAGTGCACCTCCAAGAGTTTGCAACGCGTCGATCAATCACAGTGCGTGAAATCTGTCGACCCAATGCGCGTTTGGAAAGGGTCAACAGATTTCGCGCACTGTGAGTAGTCAACGCATTGTAAACTCTTGGAGGCCCACTGTTGTGAATCGCCCATATTGAAGATTGAAATAATAAGTACTCTTCAAATTTTAAAGTCTTGTACTTAATTTTAAACTTTGGAAATAATTGAAATCTCCATATTTTGGCTCGTTTTAAAATTAATGAAATACTACCCTGAAAACAGACAAATGAATGACCCACAAAAACAGGAATTCAATTTGATCATTAACATTTAGGGTTTCCACTCCTGAGAAGGTTATTTTTCAAGTGGTTTTCTTAGTGTCAAAATGACCTTTCACTGCTCAGTTAAAATCCATGTTCACAGTGGCATAAAATCAATTTAACAAAAAGTCGCACTTACTCACAATAACCTTTGTAGTGAGAAGCAACATTCAACAGGAGGGGGGCCTGTGGCAGTTTTTGCCATGCCTCTACGCTTGGTCACGTACCTTCCTTACTCAGACACACTATCTGCTCCCTGTGCACGTAGCCCCCTCAAAAAGATAGGCAGATGGGGCATCTATTTAAGCAGAGGACCCAACAGGGCTCATACATGCTCCGTGTTGTGAACACTCAAAGGAGCAGTTGCTCATGATGAGTCAACCAAACAGGACCATCACTTTTTCAATAATCCAGTATTGCGCAACGGCGTAACATCACATCACATTTTATTGCACAAAAATTCAAGAGGTACTTCACGAAACATTTGCTCTGTGTAAGTCCATGACTCGCGCAATAAATAACAGCATAACTCGCGCAGTCATATTGGGCAGCATAAGTTATAAAATGAGTGATTTGACTAACTCATCATATTTGGCTAAGGCTCATTATTGCTGAACTTAAGGCTTATACGAGAAAAGCACAGCTTTGTTATAGAAGATATTACCGTTGGCTAGTGAGCTGCAGCCACTCGCATTACTTGCACATTGCTTAGGCCTAACAGCAGCAGGATTCATTTGTACATGAGCTAAAGGCTGTATGGGAATTTCTTGACTGCAGCTAAAAAAAACCAAAACAGCGTGAGCGCCATGTAAGCCAGCAGCTAGTGACTGCTACGTGATTCCCACAGCCAGGCGCATCGCTCCTAACCACACAGCACAGTTGATTGGGACACTGCCCCGGCTTGTCGTCAATGAGCAGGCTGCACAGCGCCCTCTACAAACCATTGCTGGCAATGCATCTATTCACAAGGCCCGGCTTGTCTCACTTGTTCATTCTCGACAGGCTCTTACAGAAGGGTTCGGGTGATCGAAACCTCCAACTCTGTCACCATGCTGGAGATCAACAATTACGACCCGCGACAGGACCAAGGCACCTACACCTGTGCCGGTCAGAACCAGCAGGTTACCGTCGACTTGTAGAGGACCTCCAACAGTAAGAGGTTGAAATGTGTTTAACCTTATGGATGTGCATTAGTGACGAAAGGGGAGGTGCACAAGTTACATGGTGAAAGTGGAGGGTTAAGGACTAGCTATGGTAATCACAGCTGGTCTCATTTTGGAAACATTGAGATTGCCTTGCCATTAAGGTTTCCACCGTTAAATAAGTGTCTTCAACTCTTAACCTTCACTTTTACAAAATCGAAACCTGCAGAAATCTAGCAAACTTAAAGTTATGTACTTCCTATGTACTGATAAAGCCTAGTCATGAGGTAGTGACATTTCATGCTGAAACCTACATGCGACATTGTTTCTCCTTTCCTGCAGATTCAGGCAAAAAAGCTTGCCAGTGCCACACCCGGACTTGAGGAATTCTAACTTCGGTTTAAGACTGAAGCTTTGCATCCAAAGCCTGGATGATCTGTAATAGCAGGATTGTATGCTGCTGAATTATTAATCAACTTAGTCATGATGTCATTTTGATTCTCATTATGGCACATTTTGTATTGTATACATTTCTCCATGGAACCTCTTGGACCTTGTAAATAAAGGTCACTGAAGGATCTTTCTCGTTTGTTTCCTAGATAATATGAATTGTACTGAAAATAGTACACCGTTTTGGTTTTATTTTTATCATTTATGCTCTAGTAAATGTGTTTAAGCATGATGTTACTTTGATTATAATCAGTCATTAAGGTTGTATACCAATCATTTGCCAGTATCGGAGGGAGGCCATTTCGATTTGAATTTACAAACTTGATCACCATCTGTTAGAAGTCTATACTTTGGGAAAAACTCCGCATTTGACCATTCAATTTTGCAGCGTCATAATCACCAAACATTAAAAGGGGACGCCTATTAATTTGTGGGGACTTTTAGCAAAGAAAGGGGCTAAGGTATCTGGGGAATGTGAGGAAACGGTTTGAAAAGTTTTTAAATTTATTGTCCCTCTTCTTGAAGCTTTCAATTTGGATGCTTCCATATTTGAACAGATAAAATCAGAGAAATCATGTTTTGCTTAGAGGTGCTCTTACAAAAAGAGGTTTCGTTTTCACATTCTCCCCCCCCCCCCGTATTTCGACATTGTCCACTTATCGAGATTTTTGAGACTGGGAAAATCATGGGCCATCAAAGAGCATTGTGTCCAACAAATATAACAACTTACACACAGGTAAAGGTTTTTAGAGTCTTCCCCCCTGTAATTTGACATGTACTCTGTGTATATAATTTCCTTAGAAGTATAGCTTTTTGCGTGTGTCTGCGTCTTTGTCTTGTGCCTTCACAGTGGCTATAAACGTGACCAATATTTGCTGAGGCTAGATTAAAGTCCCCAAATTGCTGCAGTACGGTTAGGTTTTATTCATGGACCACCCCTGATGGATTGATGTTTGTTTGTTAGTTTTTTTATCAAGCAGTAAAGAGTTTAATGACAGCAAATAAATATTTCTCACTTCTACCAGGAAAACGCAAAGACTGGCAACGCATACACGTCCTTTGTTGTGCTTTTAAAACTTCTTCAAGTTGTCCATTTAGATTTTCTTTTGATTGAGTAAAAACATGTCGGAAAGGAAAGTAGGCAAGAGTCTTAGTCTGTTGGTGCAAGTTTGCATTAAATGTCTAAGGTGATCAAGAGGGAAACATCCAGGGATGCTTCTGTGTCTATCGAACCAATAAGCTTTCTCGTTCAGTCATGTCATTATGTTGCAAGTTTTATCTCTTTGTTCACAGTACTAGTTAGAGGGCGCTACTATGCTGACGCGGATCTGTACTTTGGAGTAATACTGTCGCGTCTGAGCTGTTGGGGTCAGCCGCGAAGTATCCTTTAAACACGATACGCGCTAGACTTGATAACATATTCAAGATTTTGGTAATGTTGCTTAGCGCTGTGATCTGGAGGACTTTATTACAGATCACTCATCAACCAGCTATAAACGTTTAACAAAGCCAAATCTATTATCAATCTTAATATTGTAAGGATAATATAGATCTCGATCGTAACAGAATTGTACTGTTTGTAATCACGGTGTAATCACAATGAATGATCTCGTTGCACTGTTGGTTGCTAGATACGAAAAAAAGGAAACGTATGCCTGATCTGTGCGAACCAACTGCCGTCAGGCTAGCAAACAACAAAGTGGAACACACCCTAGAATTCAACGCAAATTTCAATAGAGTTCACGGCGGCGTGCAAGCGTGACGACTTTACTCATGCCAGTCCCAATCTTCGGTCGAGTGAGACTCCTGACCACTCGACCGTTACTCTCATTACATAACAAGGATAAATTTAATTCATTCTAATTCACCACGGCACTCAACCGAATAAATAGATATTCATCCTTTAAACACGATACACTAGACTCGACAAATTCAAGATTTTGGTTTCGTTGCTTGACGCTGTGACCTGGATGAACTTATAAAGAACGGGATGATATTAAAAACCAAGAGATTTGGAAACTGACAAAAGATTTTCAAAAGTGTATCCCGTGACGTTTGAAAAGCATGTCTGGCACTCCCGCTTTGGCAGCTTCAGAGGCGCCACCAGCCCTCGAGCTGTGTACGGCAGACTTAGATGTATCATTCGTAACGCGCGCGAGAGCGCCCATAATTAATTCTCTAACCCTGGAGTAACTCATGGGTTTATTAGTTTGTCGTAACATGTATCCGTCTTTGGTTTTGACAGATTTGTAAATGTACATCTTTATCAGAGGTAAATAAAGCTCCCACATGGTTACTGGACAACTAAGCAAATAAGTTTTCGCTACCGACTCTGCATTTCCTTGTCTGTTAACATCAATTTTGCTCGATTCAATATCGATAGATAGGCCTAAGTGATCATAAAAATGGATATGTTTAGAGAAGCCGATTCGTTGAAACGTAAAACCCTGCATATGAAATATAAGCATCACAGCCAAGGACCTGATATTCATCAGATAAGATACGGTTTTAGATGGTTATAGACTCGAAATATTCTATATTAGAGGGTCCTGAGAGCCATGGAACTGAGGAATTCAAGAAATATGAGACTGAACCTCTGGGCCGGATTTAGGGCTTCCAATTCTGAGCAATTTGGATGCAATCGGGTCCGAAAGTGGCACTATTTTGGCCGTTTCGCAGAAGGATGCATTTTCAAATTATGGCTACTTTTCCGGGCATTGGAATTTCCGTCATTTTAGGGTGCTCTGCTTTGGGTAAGAATTTCTCAAAAATTTGTCAGTCGACCCACTAAAAATTAAAAGGAAAATGAAAGAGGACATGACGAACATCATTTTGCTGTCCAGCTTGGACACCTGTGAGAGTTGTATTTGAAATTAAAGGATTTATCATTGGTGTCTGTGACATTTATTTACAAGGGTGCACCCCTGCGACTGTGGTGCCCAGTGTTGCCATTTTCCAAACTTAGGCGCTGTAGCGACCCAGCTGTTGATGGCGTCCTCGACCTGTATAACTAGTAGGAGTTGATTAGCCATGTGGCTCAAAATTTTAAGAAGTCTGCTTTTTGAATTTTGCTCCTGGGTATCTATTCCATTTCTAAAAACTCCATGTCTAATACACATCCTACTAGTATCTATGGCAACAGTTTGTAAATTTTTTCTTCCTGCTACCGCAAGGCATTATTTTTTACAACTGATTGTCTGTAAACCGTTTGATTCTGCTATGCTGAATAGCAGTGTGTGAACCTAAGACTAAAGAAACCGCTTTCAATTGCTCCCCAAGATGAACTATGAGATTGTTCTTGTCGTAACCAATGGCCATTTGAAATAGAGTTATTTAGCTCAACAATGTAGCCCCGCTAGGGAAACCCGCAGCGCTGAGTACACCACATGTACATTGTACTTCAAAGCATCTGGGGTTGAAGCTAATGGGGGTTGTTATTAAAGAATTAAGGTTATGTAACCAAAACTACAATTGTTCGCAAGTCAATGGTGAAAGAATGACGTTGGAATTCCAGGAATCCCTTTGTTCTATTCAACAGCACATTGCCTTTGTCATGATTTTACTCATAGGTCCCATCCTTTTTACGCCGATACAATTTTCCTGGCTAAACTGGCGAGTTTGCGAACGCTAACTTGACAATCCTTGGTTCAAAACAAACACTTTGGTATTATATCAGCTATAATATCCTATTTAATACTAAAGACTCTCCTTTCTTGTCATTTTATCAAACCATGTTGCAAATCAACCAGCAAGCCAAGCCACTTCATCTCGGATATGGGATTCCACATACTGTTGTCGGTGTCCGGAACAAAAACCATCAATCAAATCTTTCTCGACATCGGCAGCTGTACCGTTCAGCCTGCATATCCCAGGCCGTCATCTAACACAATCGATTTTCCTTCCTTTCTCCATTTCTAAGCCAGTGGTCAAACCATAGATCTCTGTGGTCTAACCACCTTTGTGAAGACGACAGGGACCGTAGATAGACAGACAGGCAATACCTTGACTTTGAAGAATATGAGGGCCCCATTCTCAAACCATACAAACCCTAGATACTTCTGATGGTCTGGTAAAAACGTGATGGTATCCTGATTTTAAATTAAATTGACAGGAAACCGTCTTTTCTAAGGAAAATCAAAGCAGTACACACGTCCTCGTATTTGACCGACTGTTTTTGCTTCTGTCGATGTTGTAGAAGATACACCTCTTTTTGAAGTGCACACTTGACTTCTGATAAACTGTTCTTATGATCCGCCTCTGTCAACTGGTTCAAGACAGACTGGTTGAAATTATATTGTCTCTCGTGCCCCTCTCTTTTCCAGGTTAACTGGGTACTAGTAGCAGATTTTAACTCAGCTGCAAATCTGGCTGAAACTTCGGCCAGTCTGTCTTCAAACAACTTAGCTTGATTAGAAGAGAACTGACCAAGTAGTTGTTGAGTATTTTCCCTCGTAGTGGGCGAGCTCATCTTGTAATCTAAGATTGGCCTACTAGACAGGCACGATGTAGTTAAGCAAAAATTTGGATGGAGGTCACAGCTGCGTGCAAGCGTGAAGACCTTATATGTTGTTATTGTTTTGCTTTAATGGCGTTTTCAGCTACTCAGGCTGTTTGCGCCAATAACCACACGTGTGTTCATAGCCCTTAATAATCAGCATCACATTACGGAGTTAAGAAGAAGGTCCAGTTTTAGAGGCAAGAGAAAACCTGAGTACCTGGAGCAGTGGCGTAGTCACGCCCCCTCACAAATTCCCGGTGCCCTCCCACTGAAAAAAAAACCCCGGATATTAATGGATATTGCACAAGGCTAATAAAAATTTGCCCCCCGCAAAACAAAACAAAACAAAAAAAACTGAAAGCTGGAGCCCCCCCCCCGGTAAAAATACGCCACTGACCTGGAAAAAACCTGCAAGAGTGAGTACGGACTGGAGACAAAATGCACTTAAAGCCTGGGCCAAGCCGGGACTCGAACCCTGGCCTCATTGGTGTAAACCGAGGAAAGAACCGCTACGTTAAAACCCCCTCCTCCAAAACCCGATACATGCCAGTCACAATCTTTATATGCCCTCTATTGACCACTCGACCGTTACTCTTACAAGGACAAAGACACCACGGTGCTCAACCGAACAAATAGACATTTTCCCATCGCAGTGTGCATAGGTACTTTGGAAACGAAATTGGTTCGTGGCTTGAAGCGTGTTACAAGAAGTGGCAGAAGTGAAAGAATTTCATGTTTCAGTTCATGACGTTAAAATGGCACATCACAAAATAAGTCAAAGCACTGAAAAAAAAAATCGCCGTGGAAAAAAACCGATAGCGTACCGTGAGCAATTCATCACCCAAAAAGGAAACTGGGAGGTAACTTACTAAAATAAAAAGAAGGAAAATCCGTTAAGTCGTGAAAGAAAATATTCAAAGGTCACTCAGCGACTGCGTCAACACTATAATCAGGACTACCGATAAAAATGATTGAACGTGTGCGTTTACGCAGTACTTCCGGTTGCAGATGATGCCACTCTTACAAACCGGATATGGTGCATGAATTGGACAATTCCTGTTCTTGGCATTACCATCCAAGACATGTTATTCACGCTTGTCCCCTGATATAAAGTAGCATGCAGTTAGCACCAACTGAGACAAACGACGTCAGATACGAGGGAAGCCTGCATTTCCGCAGCATCGGGTACGCACATGGACAGTATCCGTCGATACTGAGCAGCCAACGTCCACATGTGTCTGTTCGAAAATGACTACATTACTAAAAGGATCGTGGTAAATGCAACAACATTTAATTGGCCTTTGGTCTCACAGCTACGGGGGCCCATGAGTGCCAATTTTATTTCGGCAAAAATATTTTGATTGCAAAATAACGCAATAATATTGAGAAATGACGCAATACATTTGCGAAATAACGCATTGAGTTTGAAAAATAACGCAACCAGTTGGCAAAATGACGCAACAAGTTTGCAAAATAACAGTTTACAACAGTTCTACGGACATTAAGTGAGCAGTGCAGGTGATTTCCCGCAAAACAGTACTCGAGAAAAGCTAAGCATGATATTAAGCAAACCCGTAAGCTGCTACTTCTCTCTTGGTTTGAGTTATGATCACACATTGTGGTTTTTGGCAGTAAATCATGGTATCATCGTAAGTTTAAGAACCCTAAAACGATGTTTGGCCTATTACGGACAGTCCAGGAGAGACTCAGCACAAGTCAACGATGTTTCTCTTTTCATACTGGGGCAGATGCAGTGGGGGTGCGTTCGAGCGAGCTGCTCTGTTTACGAGTATACTCTTGGGTGCTCAAACGGCTGGAATACGACCCGTGGGTCAGCGAGAGTATTATACTCTCGCTGGAGGGGGAGTATGACTGATCTGTATACACTGGATAGGCAGCTCTGCTCTGCGAAATGAAGGGACTGCGTGGCTATCTAGGCCTAAGCTTAGGCTAATCAATACAATATGGCAGTTTCTAAGTCACCGGCTTTAGCGCCATGAATGAATGTACTTCGTCAATGGACTGAAATTGGAGGCCATTCTATTGAATATCCAAAGATATACCAGGCAAGATATGGGACGGAGGGGTACCCCCCTTACCTGCCCAATCCCTATACACACTCNCTTGCTTCAAAAGTCCTACAATGGCCGCGCGGTCACTTCAATTCACACATAAGCCTACTCTGACTGGGGAGCGTACTCCCGCCACAGACGTACATAAAAAAATCTGGACTCGCAGTGCCCTTAATCAGCTTATAGAAATAATTGAATCCACTTGCAAACAAGAATACAAAGCTTGCCCGGCAATGCCCGCCTTTAGTTCTCCCTGGCGTCAATAGAAGCGAGCCAACCCGCGCATTTGTATTCGGCTCGGTAAAATGGCCGCTGGTTGGCTTCTATTTCATACAAAGGCGCTGCAAGTCCAATTTTTTTTTAAATATAAGTCCGTGACTCCAACACCCAAGGTAATGCGCACGCAACCTACTACGTTCACAGGCGTAAACACGCGAATGCACCCTGCATGGACGTATAACATGATTCCAGCAGGCAGTACGTGCGCGGTGACACAAAACACGAGAAGACGCAACAATCATACATCACCAAAACCGCCCTGTTATTTCGCAAACCCATTGGGTTGTTTCCAAAATTATTGCGTTATTTCACAATACTATTGCGTTATTTTGCAAACTTGTAGCGTTGTTTCGCAATAAAAATATTTTTGCCGAGTTAAAATTGGCACTAACGGGCTTCCGTACACAGCCGCACATGAGACAAACATTTCTTTTTTTTTTCATTAAAAAGAAATTGGCCGATTTTCAGCTTCTCCTAAAAATCCCGAAGCTGACTGAAGCGCAAGTAATAGGACGGATCAAAACAGGAGTCTCCTATATTGATAACAGTGAAATCCAATTACGGAAGGAGGAAGTCCGGAAGATTTTAGAGCGATACTAGCAGGTGCTTCCAACGCTAGAGTGAGTTTCTTTATTTTGAGAAGAAAGTTCCATGGCAGTAAGCTTAAAAAGGTCGCAGATGGGGGGGGGGGCTCTTTCTTCCTCAGAATGACCCTGTACGGTGGTCACAACAGCACCACAAACTTCAGCCTTGCAATGTTCGCTTATAACTTCCTCACTGCTCCCAACTTTCGTTTAGCTAGGATGAACTGAGTTATTATAATTTATTTTAAATGACCTGGAAGGTCATTTAAAAAAGAAAGAAAAACCAAAAACAAAAAAAGAACCAACCAACTACAATGACACAGAAACAAATATGTGAATTCGCTCGTTGTTATTTATGAAGCCCCATTGGTGTCACTTTCCCTTTGTGATGTGTGTTTTGCAAGGAGGCACATGTCTTTCAGCAAGTTGCCAAAGCAAGATAATGACTTGCCGAAGCAAGATAAAATTTCGGTTAAAAGTATATTGGTCGTTGTCAAAACATACCGGTGTCCACACCCAAATTCCGCTGTACCCGTAAAACAAGATTAGTCTAGATTATAGTGCAAGCGGCGAAAAAATAGATCCTTAGCTCACTGTGTCCTGACGGCAAGTGCTGTAGTGGTCATCATACCTTTTGACAAATACATGTATCTCGCTTCGGCAAGCTACGATCTTGCTTCGGCAAATCGTTATTTTACTTCGACTTCATTATCCGGGTGGTGTGGTGAAACAGGTGAGTTAGGAGCAACTGGATAGATAGGGGATAGGCATGATAGGGGCTGCAGGTTAGGGATAGGTACCTACATGTCGGTAGTCAAATGAAAGGTCAGGTGGGAGCAAGGGGTGGCGGGTAGATGGGTTTGAGCCGTGTAATAAATGGCAAGGTGAGAGCAAGTGGTGGATGGGTTAGGGTTGAGGATGGCTGCTTGGGTAGTGCATGAAGCTACATGTATATGGATAGCGTGATGAAAGGTGAGGTTTGAGCAAGTGGTGGGTGGGGGATGGGTTTGGAGTTCAGGATGTGTACTTGGGCAGTGCAGTAAAAGACGAGGTGAGAGCGAGGGGTGGATGCATAGGGTAGGATTACCAGATAAGCATGGGTACTTGGGAAATTAGGCAAAAGGTCACCCAGGAGTACGGTGTGGGTGTGTGGGGGAGGGAGCTAGTTGAAGAGGTACATGTAAGGAAAAATATTAAATTCTCACCAGACGGGATTAAGCGGCGGTATGTGTGTATTACAATGTATATTATGTAGTCGGCAAAGTAAACTTTTCAGTGGCAAGTTTTTTTTTTACTTTTTTCATCGGCAGTCCTTACAGGGTCATCAAACCCAATTATATCACATTTGCACTTGCCAGCAGGGTCTTATGGAGCGCAGAAACAACTGTCATTTCCTACATACACGTATAACAATGATCAAACCGGTTCACGGAAAGTTGTCAAACTAAATACTGAAAAATCCAAATTCAAAGACGGGCTTGGGAGAAAAACACCAAATACCGGGGGAAATGAAAAGGAGGGGTACTCCGGTTGCGTTGTTGCACATATCAAACCTTTCTTTTTTATTTTTTTGACATTGGTAATTTTGATTTATTGTCAAAGTTTACTGTCTGCGTCCACAACTCACGATACAAAAAAACAAATTAGTTTATAAAATTTTACAATTAACATCAAAAAGATGGGATTTTTCTCTATCAAAATGAGTTTCGCATTAAATGAGGTTTTCTTTCAAAGCAACCCGGACCATACTTTTTACACAAGAGCTATCCATGTTATTGAATTTACTCCAACTACTTTATCTATTGCTTTCTCTTTGTTTTTGACCAAGCATGTTCAATGACATTAATGTAACTCGGCGTCGGGGATGTTAACTCTATACCAGGTTTTGCCCTTACACCGATCGTACATGTATATATTCACATGTACAGAGGTATGTACGTGTATACTAAGTATTCCTGGGCCACTGTTCAACATACATCAACCCCCCCTTATTTCCAAGATATAGACGGATACCACCCTGAGCTGAACTTGACCCTGACCCCAATTCGAAATCTTGAAATAAACAAAAACTGCAGGCAAATCCCGTGACCACCACAACCTACACAAGTTGAAGCTCTTCTTCTGTCAGTGCTACCACCCCCTCAAAAAAGTGTGCCCCCTCCCCCTGAAATTTCCCCCAGTTAAGTAACCACACAACAGGCACTGAGTACGCCAAAGAGCATCCACCATGTACCACTTGCTCCATATTTCTGATGCACATACACAAGGCAACGGGTAAATGGCACTGGTGACGTACAATTACTCAAGCGCCCCTTCAATTTGCTATCAGTGATGGAGTATAACTTTGTCACTGTTTGCACAAAGAGGTGGATTTCTCTAAACTGCATATAAGTAAACTTACAAGAAAATCACATTTGAAGTTGGTCACTTTTTTCAACAGAGAAATGGTTCCGATTAAGTGAAAGTGTTTATCTAAAACATTGTACAAAAGCACGTCTTAAATAACCCACCATAAAAATACCAGAAATTGTACTGTCTAATCTTTAATTTAACAGTTGTTCATAATTATTCATTTACCTAAAATTTGCCTATTTGTGAAAACCTAAAAACTAAGGAAACAGTATCGGCAATATGCAAGCCGTTGCCATCGCAGGCAAAATTGTTACATTGCATAGTTCAAGAGTTAAATTTGCCTCCTCGTGAAAATGGCAAAACCAGTTTTGCCCTTCATAGCTCAATGTAATCTCTATGGAGCTGACATGTACATTTACACCTTTCACAAAGAAACAAAAGTGCAGCGTAACTGGATAATTCCCAACGGAGATCATCATGATTTGGCTGATTTGAATAGATTTGGTCAAAATGATTTCATCCAAGTCTCGGCATTAGATAGCACAGTTGGTTTGGCCAAATTTGTCTCTTCACGAAAACGGTGACCACTTGCGTTAAGAAGGTCACCAACGAGTGCCTCCTCTCCGTATATGACCATGTGGGTAACATTCAGCATGTTCACATGTCACATCAAATAACAAATTGCCCCCCCCACTGAAAAAAAAAATAATTGGGGCACATTTCTGAAATTTTTGTCCAAACAATCTATCATCTCTTATTACATAAACCAGTGTAAATAAATAAATACTAATATGACATGACATGATTGTCATCACATTAATTAAAAGGTAAGTTGAGAAATTTATGGCAAGGTTTGTACAATCATTTATACACATGCACAATTAGTTAGAAGTTCATATATATAAAATTCATTTAAAATGATCTGTGTGCACATTCGAAATGATCATGGATGTAACTCAATGTGGAATGTCATAGACTCAGCGTATGCCCACAATCAATCCTAGCTAAATGCTTAAAATACATTCACAGTTCCCTCTTCAAATTTACAATATCGCCAAGTCTGTCAATTTAGCACCAGATACATGCGTGTGTTGTAAGTCCGTGTTGCACAGTAAGGACGACACGACTCGATTACACACAAGCAGGAATTTGACCTCAAAAGAAACAAAAAGTTTCACAGTAATTATCACAACCACACTTTCGGTGAAAAATAACAAATAACAATTTTAAAAAAATAACAAACACAATATTAAGGCTTTAATTTACATTTAATCAAGTGCACACACAATTTCTTTTTTTTTTCAATCAGCCCATCATGTTTCTGTCCCACAGGTAACAAAACGAAGACGAGAATTACATTTTGTACATATGAATGGACAGAGGATAGTACGTGTTTCTATGTGCCATTATGGCATATTTATTTACTGGGGTTCAAAATTCAAGTCCAACCAATGAACATGGTATAGACTGATTGCGCCCACTTAGTCAGCCATAGTCACATGACCCATAGTGGGTCTCAAACTTCAGCAAGCACAGCGTCCTCCCACAGCTAAGTGTGTCATAAGTGTCGCTTACCAGAAAGAATGCCTTCGGTTGGTAAAGCACTCACATTACTGATGAGCTGAGCACTAGAGCAAAAATCAGCCTTATTTTTGGTAAACAACACTTACGGCACACTTTGCTGCGGAAGGATGCCATGTTTGTTGATATTTGAAACCACTACAGGTCACGTGACTTACCAGGTGCACTCAGTGTATTACGTACTTATAGTTCTGGGGGAGATGTTTATACTTTTTCCAAGGGCATGTTCACATGCCACAGGAAACTGTGATTGGTGCATATGTAGTTCTTCTACAAATCCTCTGACACGGTCACAAACGTCCTGATTGCAAGAGCGCTGGTAACACCTCTGATTGTCTGGTTTTCTCATTGTGCAAGTATACACGGTTGGATCTAGAACAATTTTGTTTGGAGACAATACAGACATCATGCCAATTAAGGCTGGGAATTCACGTTTCATTTGAAAAGCATTTAGGAAACTTTCCCATACCATTTAAACGTTTAACCCTTACCACGCCGTCACTGGAAATTTTTTAAACAACAAATTGTATACAATTTAAATAGTTGACACAAAGTTCCAGCGATGAATTCGTGGTATTCCTTTGACATAACCGAGCAGTAAAGTGTTCGGAAAATCTGATGACATTTTTACTTGCATTGTTTACAATAAAAATGAACGCCACATTGTGCCAAAAACGTCAAACCTCTAAAACGGCGCCGTTCCATTTAAACGTTTGGGAAAGTCTGTGGACAGGTTTGGAACTTTCTTCGTTTAAATGTGTAAACATCCCATCCTTAGAGCCAAATACAGTATTCCTGTGACATAAACCCAAAGACAAGTGAAAAAATACTCCCACCTTCTTCCTGACAGTGAAATACTGTAACATGCAGAGCACTCACCCTTGTATGACCACTCTGAGGTACATGCATGTGCTAGCCGGCCATCATGAACAGAAACTGTTGCAGCTGTTGAACCCTGGTTGAAGGTTTTTTGCAATTTGGTTCAGGTTCATGGCCATGATGTCAGGTTTTGTCAGGAAAGGGTTTTGCTAATTCCGAAAAGTGGCCAGATTATTTCTAACTGTAGACAGTGGTGAATGGCACTTTTCACCCTTGTGCAACGTGATGGCCACTGTGCTGTGTGCAAAAGTGGGGCTAAACTTCCTTTGAGCGTATTAGCTTTGTATAAAACTTTACAAGGTAGATAAAAAGGATGCCTGTCAAAATCGCCCCACTAACACAGGGCGTCAGCTACAAAATGTACCCTGAACATGACTACATTATAAATACTTTATCTACAAAAGGTAAGCCAACGTTATCTCGTTTCTTTTTCCTTTTCTTCACTAGAGCTCAACTTGTCTTTCTCCAACAGCTTCACCAGATGCAGACTGCTACCATACTGATTGAACTTTGAGCCCATACACATTTGATACTGCTTGGTTTCTAGTTTTGGATTGCAAATGACTGGGTGGTAGATGTGAATGAGTGAGGGGTCCGGGGCTCGCAATATTGTCACGTTGCTGCTGGCAAATTTTTGGTAGAGGTCCACGTCCTCCAGTCCCCAGCCAATAATGGAAGAGTCCAAGCCCCCTGCCTCGCTGAGATCGCTGTTGTAGAGGCACGCAAGCCCGTAGCCGTAGTGGCGGAAGAATCCCGTTTCCTTGCTGATGGCCAGCTTGGATTCCGGCTTTGTCCCGGGCCCGTAGGTGACCTCGGGGCTGTACTGCCCGAAGACCACCGGATAGTACACTTGCCTGCCTCGCTGCGTGTTCAGTCTGCAGCGGGTCAGAAAGCCCGGAGAGATGTGCATGTCCACGTCCACGAAAAACATCAGGGCGTCGGGCGGGAGCTGGGAGGCACCCAGGTCTAGCGCGAGGCCCCGGGAGAACTCCCCACTCGCATGTAGAACCTTCAGCTTGGCCCGCAGGTACTTGCCAGAATACTTAGCGACCAGGTTTTCAATTTCCTCAGAAGGGTCATCCTCTGGAAGCTTGAAGAGCACTATAATCATCTCAACATTCTCACCTGGTATTAAGCACATCCGCTCAAAGTTTTCCATAAAACGCTGCAAGGTTTCTAGTCTTCCGGCTAGCGGAAGGATAAAATGTATTGTTTCTTTTAGTTTGCTAATATGATGAGGATGTTGGTGAGATGGGGCATCTCCCTTTTGATGTATGCCAAATAACGTTTGCGAGATGCCATGTTTGATTTTTTCCACACTGCTGTCCTCTTGAGCTTTCTTAGTGGGGTGCGACGGCCGTAGCTCAGCGTCATCCACCCTGATCTCAAGCTTTCCAAAGGACTGTTGCAAGTAGGCATGCCGCCTTACCGGAAATCGTTTACTTTTGCTGTGCTTGTGGTACATGAGCAGCAAATCCAGCACGTAATCAATGCCGTAGAGAGGCACAACCCGCGTGTAGCCATACAGGATCTCCTTGAAGTCGATGGTCCGGCCCACCTTCCTGGAGTTGGCGTTGATGAGGGCCATGACCTGACCTGCTACGTGATCCAGGGCCTTGGTGTGGTACGGTGGCATGCCCTTCCGAGGCGCGCTAGCGCTGGTGGAATACCAGTACTTCCCAAAGAAGTTCCAGGGCAGGATGTCCTCTGGGCCATCAGGGGCGTACTTGAGCAGGCCAGGTGGCAGTCCCAGGCTCTGAAGCTGATGGGGGTCCCCGCTCAGGCCCTGGCGGTCCTCCTCCTCGTTCAGCAGCTGTCGCATCCGGAGGATGCTGCGGTACAGGTGCATAGTCTTCATCCGCAGGTCCATGATGGCCGTGGACTGCAGGTAGTTGTGCAGGCGGTACATGTAGGGCGTTCTCTTGATGGGGTGCAGCGTGATGGCTTTGTGGACGTCGGACGTGTCCAGGCTGCCGGTGAACGCCGTGTCCGACTTGCTGTAGTTGTTGTAAAACAATGCCTGCATCTAGAGATCAGAGAAAATCACATCACACGCTGTAGAAAAATTACATAAAAACCACATGCACTGCAAAAGTCAAACATGAAAGCTCTTGTACATGTATAGTGTACATGTTTGTTTGCACACCAGGTAAACTGTACCAATGGTGTCAATTTCAGGTGCCATCCCTGCCTTTCCAATGATCGCCAGTCAAAGGGAATATGCACATGATAACTCCAAATAAATGAAATGTACAATGCACAATGTAAAGGTGCATTACATACTTGGTGATGCACACATACCTGGACATGTAAATTCAGTCCTACCAGACTCCCCTACTTTGCAGCTTTTTGGTACGGTACATGTCAGTATACATGTATTTTCAATCAACACACTGTGCAAAAACTTCATTTCGGGGCACCCCGAAAGGTTCAACCAGGGTACTTTAGTCCAAGTACCTCTTTGTTGACTGACAGGGGATTTTCACCTGATCGTATGGACCTTCAGTCTTGTTTGAAAGAGGATGATCAGACTAAAAATGTTTTCTTGAGCCACTATCTGTGGATGCATCCATGAGAGAGGGATTTTCGGCTTCAAATCCTGGAAGGTGAGCGACGGCAGTTCTAAACACTTTGTAAGTCCTCTCCCGGGGCAAAGACTTAACCAGCGTTGGCCCCAAATCCACCTGTTGTCTGTTTCAAGCACTTATCTGCTGAATCATATTCCCACGTGAATTGCACACATGTCAGTATACGAGGGCACGGACACCTACCGGTGCATGTGTGAACCTGTATGTGTATTTGTATCGTATGAGATGGCCAGTGTGGTGCAGGGTAACGCTGCAATAAAACTGAAGAGCGGAACCATGCATGCAGGCATCAAAAACCCTTCAAGATCTACATGGGGGTTCTGTCCCTGTGGAGTGTACCCCTTTGCTCTCTCAATTTATTGTCATTTCAGACCCATCATTCTGTAGGCGAATGGCCAGCATGGAAAATTAATGCGAAATCCTTGTCCATGTACAACCACTGGAGGGCGTCAGCATCCCAGACACAGTGATAACGACATGCACATCATCAGCAAAGTTTGGTTAGTCTCAAGTCTAGAGACAAACAAAAGATCAGGTAACAAGGTGCATGGAAATGTACCGCTAGGAGTGCATATGACACTTCAAATTCTTCAATTGGTACCCAACACAGCGAGGTTCGGGTGTGCACAAAACCATCCTCCTTTCATAAACCTTTTAAAAGTTCCGTAAGTGATGGATTTGTGCACATTCCTTTCACCACAGCGGATTAACTTGGGCTGCAACTGCATGCTGCAGTAGTGCACACAGCCCGGCCCGTGCGACGGAACAGTGGCACAAAGTCGGGCAAGCTCCTTGGCTTGAGACTGCTCAGAACACGTCAACCTTTGTATCGGATCCTGGTACTTTTCATTCCAAAGTATGTTGAGCTTTGAGTTGTTTCTTTTAGTCGCACAACTAAAATTCTTGCATGCACCATATTCTTTCCAGCTTTGTACCGGTACATGTAAACTACGCGGATGCGCAAGAATCTCTGAGAAAAAAATTCCCTGCCTCACAGTGTACATGAACTTCACTGGACAGGGGGAGCTGGTGTGGAAAACATAAGACAGATTCCACTTGCCAGAATAAATGTATGATCGGTGCCGGTGCTGCAGATCTCTCCCTTATAAGTTAACGATCGTTCTACTCCAACCATCAACATGTATGGAATTTTTGCAGGTTTATAATTCAAGACATTATACCCCTAGCAACGATCCTACCACTGTTGAACACAGGCGCTCTGTGGTATTTCAGGGATTTACGACTTGTGTGCAAGTTTACCAACCAAGGCCCAACAAAGAGGAAATGAAGCAGTCATTCATCTCATGACAGTGCTCAAGTACTACTATTGCTGGTGTTCTGCTGCTATTGGTAGCTTGTGCCTCGAAGCCTGTTTTCTCCTGGTACAGTCTTCCAAATTCAAAGTGCAAATATTTATTCACTGCGTCTGAGTATAATGTACCAGTAAATGTACACTGCACCTTGTACACACAGTGCCCGAGTGGTTCAACTGTTCTTTTAGCCTCCCAATTTTAATACCCTACCTGCTCATACTTTGCATGAAATTCTCCAGGGCACTGTAACCCTTCCATCTCTCCATGCTGACCACCCATGCTTCAAAACTTCTACAGATGTCTTGCACGCCCACTGATATCAGTTTTATAAATGCACAGTGACAGTATGGTGTACATGTATGTATGCACATGTCATGACCGTGTACATGTACCCTTGGGAGCTTGTAACACCACCCAGCCCCCCCCCAATCCGCTCCAAGACCCAGCCCCCCCCCCAAAAAAATATGGGGAAATACTAAGGGAAATACTAAAGTACAGGGTGCATGTATGTTGTGTGTCTATGCTTGTCTGCAAAAATGAGACACTAAGAAAAAAAATTTCCAGCCTTCGCCCCCCTCCAAAGTCCTCCATGTAATTCTGTCCCTACAAACATGCCCTCCCCTTGTAAAGACCAAAGATTTTTTTTTTTAATAATGAGAAAAAGGTGAATTTTGGGGACTATGTCAGTTCTCTTGCTTCGCCCCTTCCGAAGTTTTAACACAGGGTAACATACCGGTTCGTTAAAAAAAAAAAATCAACATTTTTGACCCCTTCAAAATATTTAATTTTTTTTTTAGATCCACCCTTTCTGGGTGTTCCAAGGCAATACAGCAAAAGCCTTACTTTTTCCAGTCACAGTGTACAATCAAATAGGCTCAACCAGTAAGCCCAATGCACAATCCACCAAGCTAGACATACAAGAATGCAGAATACTTTGACTAACTTGGTTGAAATTTCGTCAATGCCATGCACGTACGTGTCCTGAGTAGGAATGGTTGTCTCTCAGTTTTGCGCGCCACATTTCTGGACATTCTGTCATTATTTGGGGTGTACTGATGACAGATCACACGAACAGCCAGGGCACTTTTATGGTGAAGTGTGTTGGCACAAATTCAAGACAGCAATTTCGGACATTCCCCTGTTGGTGTGACTAGAAATAATTCTGTAAGGCCGGTTACAATCCAAGATGTGTTGATGCCACCGTCAATTTGGTCAATGAGAGAAAGTCTACCCCAGGAAAGACAAAAATTACAGAACAACAGCGAGAAAGTCTAACATAAACCTGGTAATGATGGACAGGATACATGTACCTGTAATTGATAGGAAATTTACAGGACCCACAAGACTTCTTAAATTCACCAAGGACAACGATTTATTCGTACATATGATGAGATTACACCATCACAGCCAATTGTTCCAGCATGGAAGCGTTGGACTGGAATCACACAGCAAGGATTACCTGCGCAGTCACGAACATCCTTGCCATGCCCTGTTTACTGATGAGACAGACATGTGCATGTACGGTACGGAATACCCCCTTATTAATTTATGACATCAAAGACCTTCATCCATCAACCTTTGGCTTAGCGGAAGATAATTAGACATAACTGCACTGGAAAAACAGCATCCCCACTAAAAAAAAAAAAAACGCCAGTAACAAAAATATGAGTTATTATGCATAACAGCCCCAGGGTTAGTCTTGCTCACCCTGGGTGCTTAATTAAATTCTAGATTGTCTTCAAGGCAGATACTGCCCCTTCAAACTCCCAAGCCCCTCTGGAACTAACCATGAGGCAATACCAACCTTCTTGATGTTTTGTGAAATACACACACAACAAAAAACCCTACATCTACAATGAATCGGTCATTCTCTTTTGGTTTGATTCTGGAATAAAAGCACAGGAAGGTTCCGGGCACTGCCTCTCAGAAGCTTGAGGAAAACTGCCAGAGAAGATGCATGGTTGACGGAAAATCACATCACCTATCATTCAGGGTCATTTTCATTCTTGTGAAATTCTCATCCAACATGGTGCAGGATAAGCGGTCACAAGTCTCTGAAAATGAAACCTCCACCTCAGATGCGATAAAAAATTCTGTCCTGGTAGGCTAATACCATATGGTATGTACTTAGATACCCCATTAGCATGACATAAAATGGCCCCCCAAAATCTGTGAAAAGGCACTACTACAATGAACGACTGAAAGCAGAAAGATACATTTTGTAAGTTAAATGGGGGTACTACCATTTACTCAAAGGGTTCCATAAAAACAAAACCTCCCATTGCATGGGCCCTGTAAGGTAAGGTCACCAGTGGATTGTGTGTGCATGTACACATGTATGGGTGTGTCCTATGATGGGATTGCCATTTTAATCTGAGACTTCTAGGAACTACACGTACAGCTCTGTGATCACAGCAATGATAACAGCCTCAAAAACAACTGGCGCTCAGCTGAGCATGAAATCAGCCAGGCGGCTGGGCACTAAATTTCTCGCTCGGTCGCACACCAGTGAATTCAACTCCCCAGGGAAAGAAACTCCATGTCTCATATTTTTTGACCCCAGACCTTCATTGGAACATCACAGCCAGTTCCTTGGCCTACTGGGCCTGCAGGCTACAACTGCGGTTCCTTAGCAAAGTCTGCAAATTATGCAAGTGCATGATGTGTGTGTATTTGCCTGCAACTGGGGACCCCCTATTGTTCCTCTTTCATTTGTACTTCAACTTTTTT